CCCCCCCATTTACTTTTAGCCTACCCTTTTGTTATCATTATGCAGTAATAAACAAATGTATTGCGAGATGGTCCACAAGCCAAGGAAGTCTACGTCAGCCAACCGCAAATTGTAACTTTAGCGCCCCTATCCCTCCCCCCTCCCATCTTTGCGACCATCGGTCGTACTGCCGTGAGTTTTCAGCACCAATGAGCATAGCTCTTTAAAGGCGGCGGTGGGACATGTTCAAGCCAGTGGAAAGTAAGCTGGTTGACCAGACGGCATATTTCACAATGTCGCTGCATGATCACCACTATTTTTCGTCTCCATTCGGCTAACATGGAAGTGTGAAATGTTTAAATCTAAAAAAGCGGAGCTCGAGTTGAGACCTCGGCGACGAGGTGCCGCTGCGACAAAGGATGCTAATACCGTCGCCAAAGAGAACGGACAGTCGTGCTGCCAACGATGGCGGTAGTGTGTGTGCGGACTATCACGCGCTGCTTGCGCCAAACGTAGCCCTCGGTTCCAGGTGACGGGCTCCATTCGCTGTAGTTTTTGTTATCTCCCCCGGGTAACAATTACGCCTGTAATCACCTACCTCGTTCCACGGCGTAAAGACATCTTGGCGCTGCCAATGTGTACAAATATGGATGCCTCACCCCCAAGTTTCCTGAGTGTAAAGGCGAACACCCACAACACAGGTGGGGTCATCTGTGGATTTTATGTGGCGGGGCTACCATTTTCGTGCTGCGAACGCGAACTTGGCACGCATGTACACATTTGTTAGTCGCTTGGAGGCCAGGCCCACGGTTTGCCTTTGGATGCGCCCTTGATTAGCGCTACTGGTAAGGTGAATATGAATCTGAATACGTAGGTCATTGGCCCAACAGCGCATGGGGTATTAGCCACGACTGCTGATGCTTATAGTTTGTAAAAATTGGGACCGGATTTGGCCGTCGGGACGCTGTCGGCGCGCACAGAGGTCCTCCCAATACGGCGGCGACCAGGGTTGGCCTTGTGGCACGTGCTGTAGTGCACTCCAGAATGTCGACCTTTGCGACTGAAAGGACAATAAGGTTAAGTCAACTGCAGGTGAAATTAGAACAGAGACGCTGCATGATGTTGGCAAAAACATTTCTGACATACTTAAATTGAGAAAACTGTCAACGGGCCTGGCCATGAAATGCCTCTAAGTCAAGTTGTATCTCACTACCAGGTGCGTCGTGTGGAGCGTTGCCTCATTGACTTAACTGGGGACACCGAAAAACTGGAGGGTGAAGAAAGTTATGCTTCACGTAATTAACCTACTCCATGTGCTTAAACGTGACATTCCAACAAAGTACAAGTGGCCCACCATATTCTTCAGTGGAGCCAAACCTTATTGATATGGTGACATGGAAGTTGTTTATACCGTTACTATGGCATAGCGTAGCAGCAATTACAGTATCAGCAAGCTGCCAAATGCGCCGCCTATCTCGACCGTGAATTGTGTCCGAGAGCCATAACTCGTGTGCCCTCCAGTCGCAGAGCCACTGACGCAGCCCTGTCGTGCCCCCCATTGCAGCATCCATGCGAGTGTGTGACCCTGTGCAACCGTCTGTCGAGGAGGCGGCCAAACTGCGCAAGCCGGAGCCAGAGCCTTGAGCTGCTGGACCAGCGGGGGGAGCAGACCCGGGAGTCTGTCAGCGACTGGCCGTGACGCGTACCAGGTCAGTTGTCACGCTCGTCACCACTGGTCGCCACTGAGCCTGCCCCTGGCCCAGTAAGCACGAGTCCTGCTCAGAGCCTTCTTTAGATGAGGACAAAGGAGGGACAACCGACACCGTTGTAGTGTCCAGCCGATGCGCGTGCCGCAACATTCGAATGGTGCAGACATGACGAAACTTGGCTTCAGGGCCCAGCCCAGCCCAGTCCAGTTCAGTCCAGCCCAGTTCAGTTCAGTTCAGGGCGGCTGGTCTGTTCTGCTCTGTGATTTCCCCAGACCTTTCCCCTCATTATTCAGCATTGCGAAGATGGAGGTGTGGTGCCATACAGGCTGGTCGTAGAAATACGACGCGTCGACCGTCGCTCTCCAGGCTTGTTCCATCATTTCCTTCTCAAGCTCGGCGGCCCCCCGCATCTCACGCCACGCAAACGACGTCACGTGATAACCGCTTCCAGTGCATTGTGCATGACTTTTGCAACTAATTACCGCGTGTATTATCGTGCCTGCGGCAACCATGTAGTAGATTGCTGGACGCCACTTTCGGCAGGACCGAAAACTTCATTGTGTCTGCTCTGTTCTGCGCTGCCGAGGAGGGCAAACATCGCGGGCATCAAGCGACTGTTTTCCCCATGGCCAAGATGACCCGAACCTGGCCAACCGGGTAAGTGTGCTCAAGGGTTTTTTGTTGTGGCTCAGACGGAACATATTGGCATGCTGGGAATTTCGGAAATTGACTAGGTCTCTCGGCGAGGCGGTTCGATTTCAAAATCATTCTCCACTTGGCAAGCTGCGCACCATGCCTACTTTTGTTTAGCTAACAAACGCTTAGCGAACCGTCCTGTTGCTACATTCAGATCATTCCGAGGACGTCGCTCAAAAGTTGGATCATGTTGTGCGTGCATGATGAGATCCCGTGAGTCTCTAGGGGCTCGCTGTGATCGTTCAGTCAGCACTGAGCTGCGTCTAAGTTATTGGATGAATGATGCCATCTGCGAACAACACACTGAATACTCTCTCAGCATTGGGTTGCGTGGATGAGATTCGATGGGTCAGTGCCATCTGTCAACAGCAAGGCGAGACATCAGTTCACGTAGCCGCCGGCCTGGGTCAGCTGGAGGTTCTGCGAGTGCTGCGCACGAAGGGAGCCGACCTAGCCCGAGAGGGACGAGCGCGGAGACAGTTGCTGCCATCTGGGCGGCCCGCCACGGCCCACCCGGCGTGTTGGCTTACCTGCTTGGAGAGGGCGCCAGCATCGACAGCAAAAATTAAGGCATGTCCAGATTCAGATTCGATTCGGGGGCGGGGGGGGGGCGGGGGGGCATTCAGTAAAGTGTGAGAGGCACAGGTACAGCTCTAATGTGCCAAAATGCCGCTGGCGTGGCGCGGTCCGGTGGGTGGTGCGTTAGGCTAGGTAGTCTGTGCATGTAAAAAGTATTTCAATAGGTAGACGACAGATGTCAGCTTATGGCATTAGTTTTATAATGCGGCAAGCATAGTACAATTTGGCTGTTGATTGCAGATGTTGGTCGCTGGATTTATTGTTTTGATGACTGTTCCCGACTTGGCTTCAACTCCCCTGGCCATTTTTTTTTTAAAAAGCTGCGTTACAAATACACCGGCCATCAGAAGTGCAGTTTCCTATCAGTTGGGTAGTTCCAGCCCCCCCCCCCTCACTCTTACGAACTTTGAGAGGAAAGAGGGTCTACTCCGGGAAGTCACGTGCTTGGTGCAGTAGGGGATTTAGCCTTTTCCCCGTCGAGTCCACTAACCCCAGCTTATGTTGTGAAACTATACAACGGTCGGCATGTTACGCCCAGTTCAGATAATCTATGATACCAAGAAGGCTCAGGAAAGATGCTGCCTTGCAACGATAACGGAGAAGAGAAGCGGAGATGGTCAACCACGGGCTGCACCATTCATTTTGTAGCTATGCACATCAAACCCACCGTGCATGAAACGACCGATGACAACGCCGGCCGCCACAGTCGGAAGCCGTTACCTGACGGGGCCGATAGGACCGCCTGACGCCTGAGTGTACCGCGGATACCGCTTAGGAGGGACTGGCGACCTGACCGGGGCCGATAGGACCGCCTGACGCCCTGAGTGTACCGCGGATACTTCTGGGGAGAGACTGGCGACCTGACGGGGCCGATAGGACCACCTACGCCTGAGTGTACCGCGGATACCGCTTAGGAGGGACTGGCGACCTGACGGGACCCACCTCCGGCAGGCTGGCGAGACGCCGCTGCTGGTGGCGTGCAAGTACGGCCACTTACCCGCCGTCCGGCTCCTCTGCCAGCACGGGGTCGCCCTGAATGCCCAGGATGACGTGAGTACGGCACGAAATGACATCATTCGGGCGCAGCTGTGGTCGGTGCTTTGACCGATATGGTGATTTGCATTGTTTGACAATGCGGACGCAAACATGTGTGGAATGCCAGGCATGGATGTAAACCTGAATCTCATGCCGTGCAAATGCGTAAATCTGGGATTAAACCACGGCATGACAAATTAGCCATCATCACACTGGAAACACTATTTATCCGCGAGCTTGCTTCCACCCTGACCAACACCTCAAATCACGCGTAGCGCTTAAAGTCTGAGGGCAGCACGTCAACAGCTGGAATCTTTGCTGAATGCCAAGTCCGTTGTGACAAATGTGCGTCCACCAGTGTGACCCCCCAGATATTTCTGCCATATACCACGGCATACTACATCAGATACTCATCGTTACATTACCACTGAGATGTATCTTACCGTAACATTACTTATAATCACGTGAGGTGTTTTAAAACTGCATGTTCAGCGGAAATATCTTGGAATCGTTTTAACAATGCGGTCTGTTTTGAAAGGCAGCATGAAATTTGTATGGAAGCTTTTAAAACGTCTTACGACAATTTCAACGCATCGCTGTGGAAATCTGGAGGGAGAGCAAATTTGAAAGCTGGAACACCCGCTGATTTTGTCTTGGTGTCCAGATCGCAGGCAAATTACGAAAGAATGTCATATATGAAAAGTCCAGATCATCTCCTTCCCAATTTTAGTATGCGTCATTGGCTTCGACGCAGGATTATATGACACGGTATCGGTGAGCGTTGTGGTAGTGCTCGGTTCAGATTTCAGTTAGCACTGCCAGAATAGATTTACGACTGTTTCTTGAAACAGGTAACATTCAGTTCTTTGGGCATTTGCCACAAACCACCTCCTAGCACGCAGACCCATGTAGAGAGGCCTACCTTATGATTTGAGTTACCTTATAATTTATAAGGCTACCTTATGATAATAATAGTTGTGTATGATTAATATAATTAATCTATATAATGATATAATTATATAGGGCTACCTTATAATTTGCAAAGGATATGCAGATCCCATGATATTCAATGGTGGCGTTTGTTGGTGAATATGAAGTGATTTTTAAATCCTAAGATCAAGCGAATGCTGCAGCGCCTTAATACGGAAAAGCGTTCGATGGTCAAAGTAAGGGTCACACACAACTGGATGGTCGCGGATGGGCGACAGGTCTGGATATCTTAGGATTCAAAATGTTAAAATCACTATCATATTCACCAACAAAGGTTGCCATTAAATGTGACGAGGTCTGCATATTTTTCGCAAATTATAAGGCAGCCTTTTCCACACGGAGTCAGGATATTGTTATCGCGTGATTTTTCATTTTTCAGTCTCCTGTTATGCACAGAGGGTCGTGTTTATTTGTGTAACTGTGACCGTTGTCATTGCGAGCGATGTCGGTTGAATGTTTAATATTTAGCTGTTGATTGATTGAACTGGTACCATCGTACTTGTCCTGATATGATACGCAATATATCGAAACTCCTTTTACCATATATATATATATATATATATATATATATATATATATATATATATATATAGATATATATATATATTCATGCATACATGCAGTATGTAGTACACACATCTAGGTACGGCAGCACAAACCATCAAACTTGAAACAGGCCCAGTCAATTCCAAATTTTTGCGCAATCGTGATGCCAGGCCATCGAGAGTTCGGCCATGTTTCCGACCTGATAAACCAGAACCCAGCCTTGAAAGTGACATGGCTGGCTTATTACCACAACGTGACCTTTCTTCGTAAGATTATCAGAGCGGGACAACCATCAGCATTGGCAAATATACTCGGCACAAACATAAACACTACAGAGAGATAGGCCCGCCAATCACGCATCAGGCTGCTTATGGCGCGTTAGAACAGTGGCAAATGACGGTTTATTTACCGGCTCCGGTCGGCTACGCCTCTTGTCTCATTAGGCTGAGGGCTTTTGAACCACTCATACCTCTCTGCCACCTTTAAGCGAAAGTTTCTACGTGCCACGGGACGCGAGCACGCGTTTTTAAATGGATGTAGGATGTGTTTGCCTTTTGTTGGATGAATGAGAGTATACTCGGGAATGGAATGTGAGGTGCCGTTTTGTGAAAGCTGTTTCCAAAGTCCAATTCGTAGTCCGAAGGATAAACCTGCTGTCCGTCAAAAAGTGTCCAAAGAATCGGGTTGTCCAAAAATTCTAATTTTGTTTTATTCGCAGCCAATTACTACCTAATGCCACTAGCTCAGCTACCCCGCGTCACTGCATTACTTCACTCCCTTTCGCATAAAAAAGTGAAGAAAATTATCGTGGGTAAGCAGTGTGTGGTCACAGGCATTCGTGGAAACGTCCGACAATTCAAAATTTACACATCGATGTCTACTCAGCTTGACTATCAGTAAGCTCGACAACAGCACTTTAGTTGGATGATGAGTGGTAACAAATCGTAACTAGGTAGGAAATGAGTATCACAGGCTCTTCTGAGGACATCATCAGCATCAAGAACACCGAGCCTCATTTTATCGATGCCCTTCAGTATAGAAACTTTCTACCTCACGTTTCAAAAAGTGGTATTTTTGGTGTGCTCTATCAACGACTTGGTTTTGTTCCAGAGTCAAATTATTTTGAAAACGAGCAGCATTAAATAAGTTGACACTGCACACCAATTTGCGACACGGCAGAAGGACATCGTCTGTCAACAAATGTCCAACGATGTTTGCCCCTGCTTGATTGCCCCGTTGGCCCTGCCAATCGAACTTGGACTTTTGTAATTTTTTGGAAATTCGAAACTTGAAATCCAATCGACATCTTTAGTAGGCACGCGAGAAAGTATTCCGGTTGTACTTGTTCTTATCTTGCATGTGTACTACTTTGTGGCATGTACCCGCCGGACTCGCACCACAGTTATCGAATTCATAGATCACTGGTCGCGTTTGGAGCGCCCCGGTAAATACGGAGGCCCGGCTACCGGCCGCCGCTGCGATCTGGGCGGTGGGGAGTGAGGATTTCGCTCTCATTCAGGTGCGCGGAAGCGCCGGGCAGCGGCCCGGCTGGCCAGGCGATACGGCATTACCGAGCACGCCGCAAACTACTGTTCTATAATCTTGGCCGAAGTCTCTGACGGTTACATGCAGCTAATCGGAAGCAGTTCTTTCAGCTGTTTGGTTTCTAGGGAATGTTAGGCCTAGAGGGTGACGCTTGAGCTAAACGACAGGTTCATTACCAGAAGCCCGACATGGGCGTGTGCGCAATGTAACAAGCCTGAAACCAACGTTCTCAGGTGCCAATGGCTACCTGGCCATGTCGTTCCTTGCGAGATAGCTGTACCACCAGATTTGTTTAAAATTTAACCTTTACATTTGCATGCAACGACGTTTGCAAGCCAGGAGAGACTTCGGATGCGTCTTCATATTGCGACGGTTAACCTTCGCCCCGATTCACCGCTTATGATGAGATGGGGGGGGGGGGGGTCGAGTGACCCTCTTCTGTTACCGAACTTAAAGAGAAAGAGGTCCGCGGAAAATCTAACGAATTGGTCTGAGCGAGATCTTGCCAGTATCATACCATCATGCCAGGTAGCCAGTATCATGGCCCTGGGCCCAGATTTTATCGGACTAGGAAAGGCCAAATGTAAATTATTCCTGAAAATCGACTTTCCCGGCCTTACATTTCCATTTTACGCAACAATACGGCTTAGCGGCATACGCTCTTGTTTTAATTCTGAGCACAATTATATATATATATATATATATATATATATATATATATATATATAGAATGCGTGCGTGCGTACGGCTTGCGTGTGTGCGTGTTGTGTATGTTTTGAACATACATTCATGATATAGGGATCTGTTGAGGTGACACTACATCTTACGTCGGCCGCCGCGCACCAACGGCGGATCCGTCAGTTGTCGCCCGCTGCCCGCGTTGACCGTGATCGCCATTCGCTGTTCCCACAAAACATCACTATTCAGAGTTAGACTGATAAAAAAACGTTTTGGTGTCAAAACACATGCAGGAAATGTGTCGAAGGATACCAGAAATTTCGGCGCAATCGCACATGCCGGAGAGATGTCTTCAAAAACTGTGGGGGACGCATCACCCCTCCCCCTTATCACGATGAGGGTTACTACATAAAACTGCGGAGTCCTATGGAAGTCGGTGATCCTATATAAGACATGGACATATAAAAACATTCACTTTTACTTACTATGCGGCATGCTTCACAGGGATCATTAAGCATGACTTGAACTGTTTGCTACCTTCAAGCCGTTTGTTTCTCCAAAAGTGTGACGGTTGCAATATTTAAGCATGAGAGGCTGACGTCCAACATTATTTTGCAATAAGTGGCCATTCGTCAGCAAATACTCCTCCGTAGCGGGCACTGGAATCATTGCATTTCGAAAACAATCTGCGAAGTGAAGGAGTGAGGTACATGGCATTGGTCACCACCTTTAAACGGATGCCTTCTATTAGGTTGCATAAGTTTAATTTTTCGTAATCACGTGCCATTCAGACACATAACGAACAATAAGCGCTGTATTTTTAATTTACAACTCGGCAAGATGGCAGCCAGACCTCTCTTTGTAAGGGTCGTTTTAGGTCTTAGAAAGATTATTTCGTGGTGTTATCTGCCACAGTCGATGCTGATCTCTGGAACAATAAGAGTGTGGTGTGTGTGTGTGGGGGGGGGGGGGGGGATAATATCGCTTCTTCAAGCCGAATCACCGCCGAACAATCGGTTATTATCGTTTTGATTGAGCCTGTGCTGTTTTAGACGTGTTTAGTTGCGATTTTTTTCAACGTGGCTTTTATCTACGTGTATGCTTTGTTATCGAAGTTATGTACATTTGTTGAGTATCATAAAACTTTTTAAAATTAATTACGTTGTTCGGTATAGCTGTGAGGAGCAACACACATCACAAAATAGTGCTGGTAGCCGTATCGTTCGTCCAATAACCAGAAGAAAGGAGAGAAAAAGAAATGTTTGTAATCTTTCGACTGCATGCCATTGCCAACACGGTTGTCAGCACCAAATTCAAAACTGCTTGCCTGTCCTTCACGTGTTTTAGTTTTAGTTTTGTTAAAACAGCAAGCCACAGTCTTACCAGGTCACCAAAATTCAGGGGATTGTAGGCAAAGAGTCATTGCCATCCATTATTACAAACATGGTCATCATTCTCTTCCAAAATGGTTCCTTAGTCCTGAACCTCGGAGGATCCGGGATTCATGGCTCAGTGATCCGATCCCAGCATCCGTATCTGGGATCTGGACGTAGGCTTGGTATGAATGTTCGTCTGTTTACACTGCATGTCTGCTCTGTCTGACTGGGCTTAGCGCAACGCATCTGGGTGCCTCTTTACCCGGGGTGAGCATTCCAATGCAAACTGCCTGAGCTGTGTTGTGCGTCCGCCGCTGTCTGAGCTGTCCTTTGCGTCCGCCGTTGTCTGAGCTGTGCTGTGTGTCTGCCGCTGTGTGAGCTGTCCTTTGCGTCCGCCGCTGTCTGCACTGTGCTGTGCGTCCGCCTCTGTCTGAGCTGTACTGTGCGTCCGCCGCTGTCTGAGCTGTGCCGTGCATCCGCGGTTGTCTGACCTGTGCTGTGCGTCCGCCTCTGTCTGAGCTGTACTGTGCGTCCGCCGCTGTCTGAACTGTGTTGTGCGTCCGCCGCTATCTGAGCTGTGCCGCGCGTTCCCCCGCTGTGTGAGCTGTGCTGTGCGTCCCCCGCCGTGTGAGCTGTGCTGTGCGTCCGCCGCTGTCTGAGCTGTGCCGTGCGTCCGCCACTATCTGAGCTCGCTGGCCTGCCGGCAGCATGGCGAGACGGCTCTGCACGCGGCCGTGTGGCACGGCTTCCCGGGCATCGCCTGTCTGCTGAGCCGCGCCGGCGCCAGTCCCAACATCGCCAACCAGGTGAGGCCACTGGCGTACACAGAGACCACTGGCGCACCTGAGTAACGATCACTGGTGCACCCGGGCAAGGGTCACCGGTGCACCTGAGCAAGGGTTACTGGTGCACCTGAGCAGGGGTTACTGGCACACTCGAGCAAGGGTCACTGGCGCACACAGAGACCACTGGCGCACCTGAACAACGGTCACTGGTGCACCCGGGCATGGGTCACCGGTGCACCTGAGCAAGGGTTGCTGGCGCATCCGAGCAAGGGTTACTGACACACTCGGGAAAGGGTCACTGGCGCACACAAGCAGTGGTCACTGGTGCATACGAGCAAGGGTCATTTGCGCACCCGAGCAAGGGTCACTGGCGCACGCAAGCAGTGGTTATTGACCAAGAATCTAATGAGATGGTTGACATCCTGTCTTTCGCATTTTCCTAGACCTAGGTCCTAGGTCGGCCACCCATAACCCGACTCTTACCTGATTTGGTTATCTGACCTCTGGCCTGCCGCTGACCTGACATCTGACCTGCTCTAGACCAGAACGTCTGACCTGGCTACCGACGTGAGCCTCTCTCCAGCCTCAACAATACTTCCTGTTCTTTCATCCAGTCTTGGTCCCTTGAACTGACAACATCCTGAGCCTTGACCTAACTTAGACTTGACGCCTGATATAACCTGACTACTTGACCTGATTTCAGACCTGAGCCTTGACCTTACACTGACCAAATCTTCCCCTGACAGGACGCGTCATCTGACCCTTCGTCTGATCTCCGATCTGACGACGGCATGGTGTCTGACCTAATGTGACCTGACCTGACTCGGCAGGAGCTGGAGACGCCTCTGCACTGCGCGGCGGCCCGCGGTCATCTGTCGGTGGTGCGCTGTCTGCTGGACAGTGGCGCCCTCTGCGACACGCCCGACTCTACCGGCGCCACCGCCCTCCACTTGGCGCTCCGGCGGCGCCACCAGCCGCTGGCGCACCTCCTGCTGGAGGCCGGCGCCAGCTGCGACGTCGCCGACCACGTGAGCTGGTGGACGAGTGGCGCGGGGGAAGGGCGCACAAGCTTAGTGGCTGTGTTTGATCTGGGCAGCTATACACCGGATTGTCAATGTTCGCTGATGGTCGCTGACGGATAGATCTGCTTAACGTACGCTGCACTCTTCCCTGTGTGCTTTCCTGACCCAATGCGTCGAAGGCCAGTGGCGTTTGTCGACTGGCTCATCTCGGCGTGAGTTCTTTTTATGTCATTCGCCTCTAAATTACCCGTCTGTGACTGGTATGACCCATGGGATCAATTTTAAATAGGCATATCCGGCGTACGTTCGTTTGTTTACCAGGGCGTCGCTGCACTTTGTTCGGGAGAAATGCGAGTATGTACTCCCTCACCTCTCCTCCGACACGCCGGATTCCAACAGCTAAGCCCGTAGTGAGGGTGCGTGGAGATCTGTGCCCCCACTCGTGTGAACTGTGCCTGTGTTGCACGACAGGTTGGAGAGAGGCCTATTCACATCGCGTGCGCCGAGGGTCTGCTGGCGGCGGTGCAGGCGCTCTGCACGTACGGGTGCACGGTGGACGTGGCCAACAATGAGGGCCTGTATCCCGTCCACCTGGCGGCCAGAAACGGCCACACCGAGGTGGTGAGGTGAGTCCACGAGTCTGGAAGGTAATCAGTGTACCCAGAAGGATGGTGGTGTGAGCTCCAGATCCTGGACGCTGCTGAGGTAAGGTTCGCACCCAAAAGGATGGCAGGGTGCGTTCCTGATCCCAGAGAATGCCAAGGAGATCTTCATGCCGTGGGGGATGGTGAGAAGAGCCCCTGATCCCAGAGAATGCCGATGAGATCTTCACGCCACGGAGGAGGATGAAGTGAGCTCCCGATCCCGGAGAATGCCGATGAGATATCTATGTCACGGAGGAGGGTGAGGTGAGCTGGTCCCGGAGAATGCTGAGGAGGTCTCCATGCCACGGAAATAGTGAGGTGAGCTCCTGATCCCAGAGAATGCTGAAGAGACCTCCATGCTACGGAGGATGTTATGGTGAGTTCCTGATCCCGGGGATGTTAGGATGAGCTTCATACACTGAGAGATGGTGAGGATGGTTAGGTAAGTATGGTACCCTCTGTCGGTTACTGGGTCTCCCAGTCACGGACTCCGCCAGCGTCGGAGGCATTAATTGCTGGCCGCCGCTGGCGGGTGGGCCGAAGAGCACATGTGACAGACGGACCTGTGCCACGTCATGCAGCGCCATGTAGGCTGCAGACATGTGTCGGGCGTGTGTCGGACGTGTGTCGGACGTGTATCGGTCATGTGTCGGGTGTGTGTGGGAAGTGTGTCAGACGTGTATCGGGCGTGTGTCAGACGTGTATCGGGTGTGTGTCGGACGTGTATCGGGCATGTGTCAGACGTGTGTCTGAAGTGTGTCTGACGTGTATCGGGTGTGTGTCGGACGTGTATCGGGCATTGTGTCGGACGTGTGTTGGGAGTCTGTCGGGGCGTTGCATCGGGTGTGCGTCAGACGTGTGTCGGACGTGTATCGGGTGTGTGTCAGATGTGTGTCGGGAGTGTGTCAGACGTGTATCGGGCGTTTGTCGGACGTGTATCGAACCTGTGTCGGACGTGTATCGGGCGTGTGTCGGACGTATGTCGGACACGCGTCGGACATGTGTTGGACGGCTGGCGCGTCTGGCGGGTGACGTGCCGCGAGGCTGACCCCTCCCCCCGCCGCTAGGGTGCTCTGCCTGGCCGGCTGCTCTGTGGACCAGCGGGAGCGGAGCGGCCGCCCGCCAGAGATGACAGCCCTGCTGCGCGGACACCACGACATCGCCTGCCTTCTCTCCCGGCTGAGTAATGTGAGCTGCCCCCCCCCCCCCACCCCACCCCCCCACCCCCCCACCAGCATTCTGTGCTCGCCCGCCAACATCCTCCGGACGTTGGCGGCGAGGTCTCGGGAAGACGGTCGGTGCTCAATCAGTACCATCGAACAGTTGTAGCCGAAGGTTGTGGGGCGTGGCTGCCATCAGCAAAGCAGGACTGCGCCAGTGTCGTGAAGCAGGGTGTGTGGAGTACTGCGGCTCAGTCGCTCTACCCCCCCCCCCCCCCCCTCCCGCATCCATCCTATTGAGAGCCGTTGATTACTTGATAACAAGCCGTTAAATTAAGAAGTGACAAACTTAGAGAAGCCATCTATTTTTTCCTGTATGCATAGCATTGCTGACCTGCGCTAATCTGGGTGTTCTACTATTCGCAGAGCGAGGTTCGCGAAGAGTTCATCAGTCAGCTGGTGCCGAGTGCAAACCCCATCTCGCGGATAAAACTGAAGCTGTTTGGCAACTCAGGAGTTGGGGAAAACAGCTTGGTAGATTCCTTAAAAGCTGGCTACTTCTCAGGCTTCTTCCGGCGAAGTAAAAGCTCGAGTCTTGGAAATCTAAGCAGCTTTAAGAGTAAGTTTTATGAAATGTTGAAAACTCAGGTTTCAGACATCACATGAGCTATGACTTGGGTAGCTCCGCCCTCGTTATTATATGTTAATGATTCTAATAATTCCTATGTCCTGTTGTCAATGCTAAGTATCTAAACGACACAAATAACGCTAGCGTTGAAATTGCTGTAAACCATAAAGAGGGAAAATAATTGTGTCGCTAAGGCTGACTTACAAACAATTCGTCCCTTTTTAGTGCTTAACGCAATCTTGCAAGAACGCTCCCCACACAGTTAGAGCCAGCACCCGCCAGGGAGTCCAAGAGTCTATCAGAACAGAACAAAATGGTATTCGAGTTTACCTTCGGGTTGTGCTTGCAGTGACGCACTCTTCCCGCAACGGTCGTCCCGAGCGAAGTCCGGCGCCTGCTTGGGACAGCACGATGTCGGTCCGAAGCAGCTCCCGTCACGTCCACGAGGGGGTGGTCAACATCACCCAGGTCAGCGCCGTAGACGGTCCGAAGCAGCTCCCGTCACTTCACGAGGGGTATCAACATCACCCGGGTCAGCGCCGTAACGGTCCGAGGCAGCTCCCGTCACTTCACGAGGGGTATCAACATTACCCAGGTCAGCGCTCGTAGACGTTCCGAGGCAGCTCCCTTCACTTCACGATGGGTAACAACATCACCCAGGTCAGCGCCGTAGACGGTCCGAGGCAGCACCCGTTACTATACGATGGGGTATTAACATCATCCAGATCAGCGCTCGTTAGACGGTCTGAGGCAGCAACCCTTACTGTACGATGGGTATCAACATCATCCAGATCAGCGCCGTAACGGTCCGAGGCAGCACCCGTCACTTCACGAGGGGTATCAACATCACCCAGGTCAGCGCCATAGGCGGTCTGAGGCATCACCCGTCACTTCACGAGGGGGTATCAACATCACCTAAGTCAGCGCTGTAGCCACCTGCAGCAACTGCCACCACAGGCACTTGACTTCACACAGTCTGTCTGTTTTTTTTGGGGGGGGGGGCTGGGATGTGTCCTGGCCATGTAAGAAACATTTATACCGAGAACGGTGCCAATTTCGGTGACGGCTACGCTATTTTGCTGAATGCCATAAGCTCCCCAGGAGGCAACGCAAGATGCCCGGGAGCGGGGCTCCCTATGCGAAGCAGGACGATTGTATTCGGCGCCGAGCTTACTAAATTAGAGATGAAGTGCTACGTAAAACCGTAGTCGTATGCATCTCGTTGAGAATATAAAGTGTGAGATGTAATACATGCCTCCCTGGTCACGGTGGTCAGGGTCACTGTGCCATCTGCCGGGACCCAGCCACCAACGAGAAGTTTGTGGGAACCACTCAGGAGAGAGGAACGGATGGCAGGTTTTTAAAGGTTAATCCCTCATGTACAACGTCCACTGGTTGCATGTGGAAACGATCGTAGAAGTACCTGAAAGTGGCATGCCCTTCAGAGGCATATGCGCATATGCGCATATGCGCTTTGTCGCAAACGAAGCGTCGATCACATACCGTACAAGGCGCTGCCACAGGGGACAGGATTGCGTGACACGCGAAAAGGTACCACGGCACATATTTAACCGATTCCCTGAGGTAATCCACGTGTGCGAAGGACACAAAACCCAGCGAATCTCCGGACGTGCACGCAATCCGTATCATCCTCCCCTCCCCTTCCCCACGGTGCACGTCCCCCCCCCCCTCGGCCTGATGCGGTGGCCTGCCCGCCGCTGACACGAGTGTGTCATGCCCTGCAGGCGACGCTCAGCGGTGTGGGCGAGGTGTGCCTGCCCGCCGCTGACACGAGCGTGTCATGCCCGCAGTCGACGCTCAGCGGTGTGGGCGAGGTGTGCCTGCCCGCTGCTGACACGAGCGTGCCATGCCCGGCAGGCGACGCTCAGCGGCGTGGGCGAGGTGTCTCTGTGGGACTTCTCCGGTCACCCGGACTATCGCCAGCTGTACGACCAGTTCGTAGGCAGCGCCGACTGCCTGCACCTGGTGCTGTACCGGCTGTGCGACCCGGCGCCGCTCCGTCTCCAGCAGGTGGTCCAGTGGCTGGGCATGCTGCAGGCGTGCATCGCTCCGCTGGAGCCGTTCGGTGAGTGCCAGCAGCACCGCGGTGCCGTCTCGTCAGTGCCTCGTACTGTAGTCGGCCAGCGACAGCGCGGCGGGGAAAGACGCTGCGTCCTTGTCGGCGAATCCGTTGCTTAGTCAGTAACCCGTCACTTATTCAGTGGCTCTGTCGCCTTCTCGCTGATTTGACTATGGTCGCTGACGTCAGAAATCTGACCTGTCCCCATCCCCGCAAGTCACCGTCCATGACCCAGCAGGTCACTGTCCCCATCCCCTCAGGTCCCCTCCAGCCCGCAGGTCACTATCCCCCATCCCCGCAGGTCACCGCTCCAACCTCGCAGGTCACTGCCCTGACCCCGCAGGGCACTGTCCTGCAGGAGTCAGGAAGATCCCGTGGAACAAGACCCCCAAACAAGACCCCGCGGGTCTTTGTTCCTGACCCCGTAGTCACTCTCTGACCCAGCAGGTCATTGTCCCATCCCGCAGTACACTCTCCAATCCCGCAAGCCACTGCCCTCGACCCCGCAGGCCACTGTCCCTGACCCCGTAGGTCACTGTCCCCGACCAAGCAGGTCACTCTCCCCAACGCCGCAGGTCACTGTTTCGACCCCGCAGGTCACTGTCTGGACTTCGCAGGTCACCTCTCCCTGACCCCGCAGGTCACTGTCCCCACCCCCGCAGATCACTGTCCTCAACCTCGCAGGTCACTCTTCCCGACCCCGCAGGTCACTGTCCCCATCCGCGCAGTCACAGTCTGCCTGAGCCCCAGTACTGACACGGTGCGGTGTCGCTGACCCGTGCCCGCCCGAAGGTCACTGCGGGCCGCTCTGCCCGGCCGGCTCGTGTGGTGTTGGTGACCACCCCGCTGACCTAGTCCGCCAGCGGAGGGACGGCACGGCCACACACGGCCACGGAGGTCAGTCGCCGGGCGTCCCTCGGGGTCAGGCAGCGGTCAGCGGTCAGGGTCAGGGCCAGGGCCAGGGTCAGGGCCAGGGTCAGGGTCAGGGCCAGGGTCAGGGTCAGGGTCGGGGCAGGCAGCGAGACCAGCCGACAGCTCTCACGATGGAATGTTCGGTTATATGTCTTCACAACTGTGAGAAGACGACGTGAAATGACGGCTGGACGTTCTTTGGCCCGTTGTTCGCTTTAAAACTATGTCATGACTGAACTCTGCATCGGTAGATTTGAAATGAAATAGCCAGCTTGTAGGATGCAATAGGCCGACACAATTTTTGTTTTCGGTGAGGCGCGATACGCTCTATTTCCTTATTGGAGTGCAATTGGTCTTGGGCTCATTTCGTTTATGTGTATTATGCATAGTATCATCTGTTTTGTGACGAAACAGGCGAAGAAACGGCACTCAAAGTATTGCAATGCAAAAGATTTGTCAACACAGGCTCCGTGCGAGTGCTTTACACGCTAACAGAATTAGGCCAGTGGCAACGCCATTGGCCAACGTATTCAAACAGCGGGACAATATTGGCGAGCAGGCCTAAAACCCACCCTACTTCGTGGTGGGATGTGGAGCACGGCGCATTCGGACATGCTGTTTTTCTCTATTTCTCTCTCCAAACTTTGCCACGTCCAGCAGTTTTTGACTAAATCAAGTAGACTGTGTGGTCATGCTTTTTATTCACGCTGCATGCTTTTTTATTACAATCATGGATGGAACAATGTCTTTGGCTGTTGCGTCTCAGTAGTTTGCCGTTTTCCCTTGATATGAAGGCTGCATCTTCACCGTGCACCGTAGATGGAAATGCTGATGAAAGCGGTGCGACAACGGTTTGGCACGGTCTTCGATCTGAGCCCGATGACGTTCATCCTGGACGCCACGTCCTCCACATCTCCATCGCTGAAACACCTCAGGGCTCACCTGGCGCGGCTGAAGACTCGCGTCACGCAGGTCAGTGCCGCTGCGCTGGGGCGGAGCCACACCGGTCCGCGGCTGCAGACTCGGGTCGCGCAGGTCAGTGCCACTGCGCCTGGGGTGGGGCCACACCGGTCCGCGGCTGCAGACACGGGTCACGCAGGTCAGTGCCACTGCGCCTGGGGTGGGCACACCGGTCCGCGCGCTGCAGACTCGGGTCACGCAGGTCAGTGCCGCCGTGCCTGGGCGGGGCCACACCGGTCCTCGGCTGAAGACGGGTCGCGCAGGTCAGTGCCGCCGTGCCTGGGGCGGGGCCACACCGGTCCTCGGCTGAAGACGGGTCGCGCAGGTCAGTGCCGCCGTGCCTGGGCGGGGCCACACCGGTCCTCGGCTGAAGACGGTCGCGCAGGTCAGTGCCGCCGCGCCTGAGGCGGGGCCACACCGGTCCTCGGCTGAAGACTCTGGTCACGCAGGTCAGTGCCGCCGTGCCTGGGGGGGGCCACACCGGTCCTCGGCTGAAGACTCTGGTCACCAGGTCAGTGCCGCCGTGCCTGGGCAGGGCCACTCTGGTCCTCGGCTGAAGACGGGTCGCACAGGTCAGTGCCGCCGTGCCTGGCGGCCACACCGGTCCTCGGCTGAAGACTCGGGTCGCGCAGGTCAGTGCCGCCGCGCTGGGGCGGGGCCACACCGGTCCTCGGCTGAACACTCGCAGAGGAGGCTCGACGGAGACAAACAGCG